GCCGCAATCCCTTCTCCATTTGTGTTTTGTTACATTAGATAGCTTATATCTATTTTTCTTTGTTTATGTCTTATGGTTTTAGTTTGTTTAATCATTTTTCTTATAAATATTGATCTGCTCAGGTTTTTGTCTACTCTCCTTATTTTAATTTTTTATTCTACCCTCTTGGATAATTTCTAGATAGTTCTTAAATTAGTTTATTCCCTTCTTTTCATTATATTTTTTAGATATTTAAAAATTATTTTAGTTAACTTAAGGCTTAAATACTTTTTTTGATAATTTAATAATTATTATTTGATTGTATCTTTGATTTAGGGATGTTTTGCTGGACATAGAACTTTAGGTAGTCTTTTTTATTGATTTACATATTTTCAATTCCTTGAACATAATTTTATTATCTTCTGCCTGGAAGACAACTGTGTTGTGGCTCTTTGAAGAGAATATGAGTTGATAAATCTCAATGGGTTTTGCAAAAGTCAGCTGTCATATAACTGTTACTTATACCTTCAGTTTTTCTGGTCTGTGGTTCTCTATAGTTCTCTAATTACATATTTATTGTAATTACATATTTACTGTAAATTTTTAAAGTATGTTTTGACTATTCTTATTCTCTTTCTGGGATTCAGATTACACCTTTATTCTTGAGTCTTAGGATATGTAATACTCATACTTCTTTTTCAGTCTTTTTTTTCCTGTGTGTTTTACTTTGGGTTGTATAAATTTATCTTTTGGCTCATATTTCCATTTTTGTTGTATTTGTACTATTAAGTACAAATAATGTATTTTAAATTTTAGATACTATTCCCCCCACCCCAGTGTTTTTTTTTTTTAATTTAAATTTATTTGTTTACTTTAATTCACTGTACATCATTACAACATACAAAATGAGATTTTCCATTCAGAGTACACTATATATTGTCTCAGTCAAGCACATCAACATACATTTTATTGTCAACAAATAATTTTCCATTTCTTATTTCCTGTATGTTTTGCCCCCCCATTCTTGATTCTCTATCTTACTCTCAGCCATCTCCCACTCTCTTCCCACACTGTCTCTGATATCTATGTTTACTTTTTATACTGTTTTCCCCCCATTTTTTACTGAATTACTAAAGATCTTAATTAATCTAAATATTTTCGTAGCAAACACAGCTGATATATACATTTCCATGAACACAAGTCTAACTTTAGGTATCATATAAAGTATCACCTAGCTGGGTCTATATATCTTAACTGCAGTCATCGAATGGATTTTTTTTTTTCCTGAAACTTTTTTTTTTTTGTAACTTAATTTACATTCTTTTCCTAAGCATCATCATAGCATACAAAATGTGATTTCCCATCTAGAATATACTGCATAGTGACTTAATCATGCATATTATTATCCAAAATTTTCTACCCCTCTTTCTGACCCTCTGTCCTTTCCCACCCTCTTCTCCCACTGTCTCTGGTGTCTACAATTGTCTTCTATTCCTTTTCCGCCCACATTGTGTTGATCACACAATTTCTTAAATAATCTAACTACTTTCAATGGTAAGTTCATATGGTACTATTAAGAAAACCAGTTTTAATTTGAATTATAGAAATGCTAAGGTACTTTTCTTAAAGCCAGGAAACAGCAGGCTCCTCTCAGGATTTTGGGTATGTACACACCCAAATCCAGCCTGAGTTTCAAGCTGCTGAGTCTGGGACTCAAACTGTGATTGACCATGTGGGAGTCCAGCTATGTAACCACTATGCTATCTGCTGGTCCCAAAGGTAGAAATTTTTATGTGCAAAAGTTGGTTGTTAGAGATTTAAAAAAAAAAAAATTTGTGAACCTAGAGCTATTTTAAAAATAAAACTTAAAAGGTCCCAAAGGATGGGCTCAAAATTGATAGTAAAAACTTGGTCAAATGAAAATTACTTGACAAAGATACTGTGGGACATACCCTTTTATGTCTATGTTAAGGGTTGAAGGTATTGGATCACTGGAAAAGTCATGACATTTTAATATAAAGAAGCATAGAAAAAAGTACTTTTTTTAGGGACCAGCAGTTTGCTGGTAATGGCTATGTCGCTGGACTCCCACGTAGTCGGCTGCGGTTCATGTCCTGGACCCGGTGGTTTAAACTCATGCTGGGTGTGTGTGCGTGTGTGCCCAAGATCCTGAGAGGAGAATGGAGGAGAAGGGGTTGCGGCATGGCCACCCCCCCGGGGGGTGATTTCTCGCTTTCTATCTCTCTGTCTGTCTCTTTCTCTGTCTGGCGAGCGCATGCGCCCTATAGCAAAAACCTCTCCCCCCCCAAAGTACATGACTTTTTCAGCAACCCTATATATTGTCAAATTTTTAATGGAATTTGATTATATATAGTGTTAACCTTCAAAAAACTGTTTATCCAGTTGAGTAGGTAGTTTTTATTTATATTAGCATCAAAAATTTAAAAATTAATAATCTCTAATTTTACTTTGGTTAATTTATACTTATTATGTAGCCATTTATAGTAATGTTTGAAAGAATCTGAATGATGTAGAAAAATATGTCTGTGTTGACCCCCTGAAAAGGTAAGCAGTGTGATACCAGTTTTATTAGAGATTTAGAAATTTATGTAGAGATAAATAAGAACAATTAAAAATAGACATTATTTTCACTTAATGTGTCCTTATGTTTGAATTGCTAATGAAGACCTTGCCACCTGATTCTTCCAATGAGAATTCCCCAGCAACACCTCCAGATGAACAGGGTCAAGGTGATGCTCCACTACAATTTGAAGATGAGGAACCTGCATTTCCATATACTGATTTGGCAAAGTTGGATGACATGATCAATAAGTATGTTTATTTTGATTTTTCATAGTAGATATAATGTACTGGAAAAACAGACTACTTATTTTCAACATGACAAATTGTCCTAAATAAGAAAAAAGAAGTGGACTGCAGTGACTAAAAGGTCTTACTGCCTTAATCCTTAACATTTTAGTCATAGCCAAAGAGATACTGTATCTTCCTTTTTATTTTGTTCTGTTTTGATTGGTAGTGGGTACATGAGTTTGCCAGTGAGAGACAGGGAAAGGAGACATTTTGGGACAAGGTCATAAATGGCTGTCTTCCTCTATTCCTTTAAGCTGTCAGAATTTGGGTTATGCACACACATATCTGGCTTGTTTTTCAAGCCATTGGGCCTTAGTCTCTACAGGGCTAGCCTATAACACCCCTCTCCTCCTCACTCTGCAATTTGCTGTAAGGTCTATGCATTTTCTCGAGAGAGACAGGGTTGGGGAGGTAGGAAAGGTGGGGGTATGGCCTTGTCAAAATCCATTTTTATCCATTCTCCTTGGGATTTTGGGCATGCACACAGTGTGTTTTTTAAGCTGCCGGGTGCGGGATGTAAGAGATTTGGCTGCCTCAACCACTCTGTTAAACCTATAACCTATTATTATTGTTTAAAGAATTATTTACTTTTATTTTTTATTAGTATTACTTTTAAATTTGCTATAGGACATGCATAGTCACCAGAGAGAGAGAAAAAGGGAGAAAGCAAGATGCCAGATCCAGAGCTTAACTGTGGCTGGCCTGGTCCAGTGCCTCAACCACTGTGCCACCTGCTGGCCTCTGTAACTTATATATTTATTTTTCATTTGACCAGAGTGACAGAGAGAGAGAGAGAGAAAATGAGAAAGGAAGCCACCAGGTCCAGGACTCAAGTCATAGTAGGTCATATCCAGTGCCTTAACTACCATGCCACCTACTGTCATTTTTTTTTTCCTTTCTTTTTTTTAAAGATTTTTGCTATAAGGCAGGTATACTGTCCGAAGATAAAGAGACAGAGACAGAAAGCAAAAAGCCACTCCTCAGGGGAGATGACCTTCCCTTCAGTTCTCCTCTCAGGATTTTGGGCACACATTCACACACACCCATGTGTGTTTTAAGTCACCTGGTCCAGGACTCAAACTGTGGTCAATATCTGAGTCTGGCAACATAACTATTATGCCATCTGTTGGTTCCATCACTTATTTTTAATGTTGTTAAAAAACATTGAAAGGTAATGGTATAAAATTTACATGTTCATGGAATTTACTTTTTTTTTTTAAAGAATTATTATTATTATTATTCAGTTTTGACCAGAGACAGACAGACAGACAGACAGAAAGAGAAGAGAGCGAGCAAGCTGCTGGGTCCAGGACTTGAACTACTGTTGGCCAAATGGGAATTCAGTGCCTTAACCACCATGGCACTTGATGGCCCCAGGATGACCATTTTTTTTTGGTGGGGGTTTTGTTGTAGAGCACATGCACTCGCCAGACAGAGAGACAGAGAAAGAAAGTGAGAAATCACCCCCGGGGGGAAGGCGCGCTGCAACCCCTTCTCCATTCTCCTCTCGAGATCTTGGGCACACACACGCACACACGCCTGGCGTGAGTTTAAGTCAGGGACTTGAACCGTGGTTGACTACTTGGGAGTCCAGCAGCACAGCCATTGCGCTAACTGCTGGTCCCTAGGATGACCATTTTTTTAAGAGACATTATTCCAAAGTTGTATTGTTGCCTTTTTTTTTTTTTTTGGAGAGTTTTTTTTTACTGTAGGTTGCGTGCACTCGCCAGGCAGACAGAGACAGACAGAGAGACAGAAAGCGAGAAATCACCCCCTAGAGGGGATGGCCACACCACAATCCCTTCTTCTCCATTCTCCTCTCGGGATCTTGGGCACGCACGCACATGCGCCCGGTGTGGGTTTTAAGCCACCCATTTCGGGACGTGAACCGTGGTCGACTACGTGGGAGTCCAGCGACATAGCCATTACGCTAATTGCTGGTTCCCAGTATTGTTGCCTTTTTTTTTTTTAAAGGGTTTTTGCCATAGGGTGCATGTGCTTGCTATAGAGATACAGTGACAAGGAAAGTGAGAAATCCCTTCTCAGGGGGAAGGCTATTCCAGAATCCCTTCTCCATTCCACTTCTGGGATTTTGGTCATGCAAGGATATGCACCTGGTGTGAACTTCAAACTTCAGGACTGAAACACCATCATTAGCCACATGGGAATCTACCATCTGAACTGCTATGCCACCTCCTGACCCTGTATTGTTGCTTTTAAAATTTCATTTGATGGATGTTGAATTTCAGTATATTTTCTATAAGGATTGGGAGATTGAATTACACTATTCACACATCTTTAGGGGTAAAGTTGGTATGTCTTGTTAGTTCACTACTAACAGAAATACCTGAGACTGTGATTTAAATAGAAATGTTGGTAAAGTGTCTGTCTGTTTAGTGCACTACTAACAGAAATACCTGAGTGTAATTTAAAAAGAAATAGAGATTTATTCAGCTAATGATTTGGAGGTTCAAGATCCAAGGACCAACTATGGTGAGGCTACTACAAATCGGTGCAAGTCAGAATCTTAGACAGAGTGACAGTTCATGAGTTTCTGCCTATTCTGTTTCTTTTCTTTTCCCTCCCTCCCTCCTTCTCATTCTTTTTTTTTTAAAGAGATTTTTACTATAGGGCCCATGCACTTTCCATAGAAAGTGTGAAATCACCTAGGAAGGCTGGCCACACATACCACAATACCTTCTTCTCTCAGGATTTTGGGCATGCATGCACAGGTATCTTGCTTGTGTTTTAAGCTGTTGGATCTGGAGCTTGGACTGCAGTTTACCATGTGGAAGCCCAGTGCTTTAGGCACTATGCCAGCTGCTGACTCCCTGGTTTCCTTTTCCTTGCTAATTCATACTGGACCTCAGTCATAATGGCCCCACACTGATCACATAATTTATTTTAAATATTTGTAACTCAACACATGAATTTGAGAGAGACACATAAATAAATATAAATGGTGTGTGTGTGTTTAGTAAAAACAATCATAGATATAGTATTACTTGTTTACAACAAATTATTTGTAATGAGTCTTTTTTTTTTTTTTCTTTTTCTTTTTAAACTGTTGGAGAGTTCTGTCTTCATCACAGAGAGATGGGGGAGAACATACTTTATAGTGCAGTGTAGTTCCATATCAGTGCCTTGACCTGCATTTCTTCATCCTGTTGGGAGTTTAGGGCACACGTGTACCTGACATGGTTTTCAAATGTTTGCAGCTGGATTTCAGACCACAGTGGGTTATGGTAGGATCTGGATCCTTTAACAACTAGGCTATGGAGTTGGCCCATGAGTCATTTTGCTGTATCTTAGTGTAGGGCTTATGGGGGTGGTGGAAGAAAGTTTTTCTGCAAAACTGAGATAGTCAGTGGATATATTGTAGATGGACTGTATTTTTCTTGAAATTTTTAAAACTTACTTGTATCCTGAACCATGAGGCTTAAAAACTCATGCCAGTTATATGTACATGTGTGCCCAAAATCCTTAGAGTAGAAAGGATTGCAATATGTATCCCCCCCGACCCCCATCCAAAGTGTCGATTTCTCATTTTCTGTTTTTCTGGCAAGCACACGTGTCCTATAGCAAAAAAACAAAACAAAAAAAAAAACAAACACTACTTAGGATAATATAAAGCTTTTTTTAAAAAATAAGTTTTTGAAATAGTGTTCTTATAAAAATAGGCTTAAAGACAGATGACAGTTTTTTTTTTTTTTTTTTGAGAGATTTTCACTGTAGGGCGCGTGCGCTTGCCAGACAGACAGACAGACAGAGACATAGAGACAGAAAGAGAGAAATCACCCCCAGGGGGGATGGTCACGCCGCAATCCCTTCTCCTCCATTCTCCTCTCGGGATCTTGGGCATGCAGGCACATGTGCCCGGCGTGAGTTTTAAGCCACCGGGTCCGGGACACGAACCGTGGTCGACCACGTGGGAGTCCAGCGACATAGCCATTACGCTAACTGCTGGTTTCCAAGACAGATGACAGTTTTAAGAAAAAATTGGTAAATGTCTTGTTGAGATGAAGTATTCAGAGGTTTGTCTCATTTCTTTTATCTTTGTGTAGATTAGAACGAGATTGTTACATTGTTTTTATAAATAAATATGAACCTGAAAATAGTACCTTTTGTATTAAGAGGTACACATTAAATTAATATTGGAATGTTTTAGTTTAAATGTTCTCTAAAAGTTGTTCAACTGAATTCTCTGACAACATCTTTATAAAAATCTGCATGTACATATAATATGTGACTTTAATTCTACTAAGTAGATAATTTTACAATCACTTTAAAATATATATATGATAAATATCATTAGCTTTTTTCACTTTTTCATAGTAAAATATAGTACATAATTTATTTAGTATTTCCTTAGTGCTCAACTAATAAATTATTTCTTATTACTCATTATTATCTTAATAATAATTCTTAGGCCTCGATGGGTAGTTCCTGTTTTGCCAAATGGGGAATTAGAAGTTCTTTTAGAAGCTGCTATTGAGCTTAGCAAGAAAGGTGAGTTTAGATATTGTTTTCGATAATGTATTCTACTGTGTATACTTACACATTCTTTAATTAAAAAGTTATTTATTCCTAGTCTGCAGCTAATTAAACCTTCTATTTTTACAAAGACCAAGAGCAAGGGTTCATAGAAACCTTCAGGTAGTGTTTAAGGATATCTGAACTCTTCAATTTTATGTAGACTTGCACATGTCTATTTCCATACAGAAGGATGTATCGTTTTAGCAGATGTTTTAAAAGAATTATTTATTCAGTTTTTATTTATTATTATTTGCTCTAGGGCATGTGCACTCACCAGCAGGACAGAGAGAGATTGAGAGAATGCAAGCCACCAGGTCTGGGACTTGAACAACAGTCAGCCTTACAGGAAATCAGCACCTTAACCTCTATACCACTTGCTGTTACCTCGTCTCATTATTATTATTTTTTTAAAGAAACATTCAACTGTGTTTGTTTTCTTATTTTAATTTTACCAGGGAGTGAGAGAGAGAAAGAGAGAGAGAGGAAGAAAAAGTGAGAAAGCAAGCCACCAGGTCTGGGACTCAGACCATGGTCAGCTATGTGGGAGTCCAGCGCCCTTAGCCACCTGCTACTTGCCAGCCTCCCTTTTCTTTAAGTGGTCGTTATTCAAAAGCTAGAAAGCTTTTTTTCCAGAGTATAGTAGGTTTCTAAAATTGTTACATGAAATAATATGCATTTAAGTATATTTTGCCATTTAATAGGGCCAGCCATATGATGTTAGGTGACATTTTTGCCTTTAAGTCATGTGTGATTGACAAGCACATTAATTTGTATACAGTTTCAGCAAAGATTTAATATTTAGTTACTGTTTTACTTACTAAAATGGCATTGAATTAAATGAATGTGCTAATGAAACCCCACCTGTGACTTTTTTTTTTGGAGAAGTTTTCGCTATAGGGCGGGTGCGCTTGCCAGACAGACAGAGAGAGACATAGAGACAGAAAGCGAGAAATCACCCCCCAGGGGGCATGGTCACGCCGCAATCCCTTCTCCTCCATTCTCCTCTTGGGATCTTGGGCACGCACACACATGCGCCCGGCGTGAGTTTTAAGCCACCGGGTCCAGAATGCGAACCGCGGTCGACTACTTGGGAGTCCAGCGACATAGCCATTACTCTAACTGCTGGTTCCCCTGCCTGTCACTTTTGATGAAAATGGTTATTTCACTAATGCTACATGTGTTTCTAGAAGCTGGCATGGCGTGGTAGTTAAGGTGCTGAACTCCCGTCATGGCCAACCATGGTTTGACTACTGGACCTGGTAGCTTACTTTCTCATTTTCTGCTCTCTCTCTGATCAAATAATAAAAAAAAATACAATGAATAGTTTTTGGAAAAAAAATAAAATGTTACATGTCTATATTTATTTATTTATTTATTTTAGTAGAAGAAACATTTTTTTCAAGAGATAGTCCTGTAAGATAAGCTTATTTATTTATTTATTTATTTTTAGTTTTAAATATTTTTGCCATAGGGTGTGTTTACTCGCCAAAGAAAGACAGAGAAAGGGAAAGTGAGAATCATGTCCCGGGGGACAGGCATGTTGCCATTGTTTTTCCTCCATTCTCTTCCTGGGATTTTGGAGTATGTGTGCATTTATGCTAGCATGATTTTTAAGCCACCATTTGGCAAGTGGGAGTCTAGTACCTTAATCACTATGCCACATGCTGGTCACAGAAGCCTTTTCATAAAGAACACAATTTTAAAAGAAAATTATAAAGTTTTTAATGTTCATCACAAGGGAAAGCTTTATTTTTAGAATGAATCACTTTCGATGATTTTATTCTATTATTAGAACCAAAGGTATTTTATGTTTGTGAGCAGATGTCCAGTAACATTCTATTATTTTAAGATCTTAAAGGTGAAGTGAAAGAGCAGTAATCTTTTTCTTCATCCTGCAGCAGGCACTAGACATGGCCTCATCACAGAGTGAATTATTTCCAGTGTCATTAGACTTTCAATATCTATAGTACCTTGTAACGTCTGTATATTGTAGAATATGTCTGTATGGCCTGGGAAATAATTTCATTTAACAATAATTACTCTATAGTCAAAGATTTAGTTTTTATCTTACTGTAACAAAAATAATTTAGTTGCCTGTAAAAATATTTTACAAAATTAAAATCTTTTGTCACTGTTTAAATGTATTCTATTATTTGTGTTTTTAGTCATGAATTAAGCAAATATCAAATACTGTTGTACTAAGCATATTCTAGGTCCTAACAGTACAAGATCAATAAAAGTATTAAAATTTTACTTATAAGAATTGACATTCATTAGATGTGTATCATTTTCTTTCTTTTTAAAAAGAATATTTTATTTAACTTTTTATTTTTTAAACTTGACCAGAGAGGACAGAGAGAGAGAGAGAGAGAGAGAGAGAGACAGACAGACAGACAGACAGACAGACAGGGAGAGGAGAAAGAGAGAGAAAGTGAAAAAGTAAGCCACTAGATCTAGGTCTTGAACCATGGTTAGCCATGCGGAAGGACGTCCAGTGCTCTGACCACCAAGCCCTACCTGATTAAGACAGATTTTGTTTTGAGGGTTATTAAAATAAAAACCTACCTTATTGTACAGATTTAATGCTTCTTAAGTTCTTATTGACTCAAACATTTTCTTTTTGGATTGGAGGTACTTGAGTATTAAAAAAAGGCATAAAGAGACTTAGGAATCATCTCTTTCACAAATTGGGTAATACATGGGTAATTGCTCACCAAAATATTTTCTAAATTGACTTTTTATATTTTTTTAAGATTTGAACTGTGCTGTGAAGTTGTTTGATTCTTTACCTGTTGGTAGCTATCTTTTTATTATGAAAGTCTAGTATCGTATTTTGATGCTTTTTCATTTAGCCGTAATGCTTTATTTGATATGGTTTTACATGGTTTACTGTTAATGTCACCTTTTTCTTTGTGATAATTTTGTATCTTTTTTAAAAACTACAATATTTCTTCTTAGATAAGTATTTTATATATATACATTTAGAGATTTCTAATGACATGTTTAATTACATACAGAGAAACATTTCCTTATATTGGGTTTATTTTAATTTTTTAATCTCTTAGGCCTTGATATTAAAAGTGAAGTATGTCAACGCTTTTTCCGTGAAGGGCTAACAGTATCTTTTACTAAAATCCTTATGGATGAAGCAGTGAGTGGATGGAAGTTTGAAATTAGTGTGAGTCTTGTATGATAATATTGATAGTAATAGTCACGAATGTTTTATACCATTTTGAAAGAAAAATATTCAAGACATGGCATGTTTTAGATTCTCAAAATAGCTTGTTCTGGTTCACTTAAGGGTCTAATTTTGCTGCAAATTTAAATAGAAAAGACAGTCAACATGTATGATGTCCAAAAAAAGAGACTTTGGGGCTGGCAGGTGGCGTAGTGGTCAACGGTGCTGGACGTGGCGGGTAGCTTTCTCACTTTGTCTCTCTCTCTTTGATTAAATTAAAGTAAGCAAATAAATAAGGATAAAGTAATTATTTAAAATAAAAAAAAGTCTTTAATTTTGTTATGTGGTAAGAGAGAACAAATAATCTCCCCTGGAAATGAAGACCACAGATATGCAAGGTCATGGTACTATATACTATATAGTATATACACATACGTACATGTGTGCCTGCCCTTTAATTTTTTCTTTAATTGCTTGAAGGCATGTGCCTTTCCCAGAAAGTGGGAGAAAATGTTATTTCTCCTTTTCACAATTTTGGGCCTCTGTAGATTTGCTTGGTATGTTTTCAAGCCACCACAGCCAGGACCCAAACTGCAGTTGACTGTTTAGTAGGACTGTAGACTGTCACCTCCCTGCAGGGCCAGCCTAAACTACAGTTTTGATTCCAAACAGTTGGTTTAGAGTATTACCTAACCAGTAGTACCTTTAAGTAACTACCAGAAGAAACAGAATGTACTCTTAAGTACCTTTAGCTTAGGACAAAAGTATTAGAAACTGTCATCAGTTTAAAATACCATCATATTCCAGGGACATTAAAAAGTGAGAAAATAACCACCTTTTTACTCAGTTAATGTAGCTATTCCAAGTTTCTGGTCTATATTTATGAGATGCAGTTAGTGAAAAGTTATGAAGCAAATAACACACTTCTTTGTGGACTTGAACATACAGACTACAACTAGGACATTTCCCCTAAATGACAATGGCATAACAATGCCAATAGCTTCCGAGTTTAAAAAAAAAAAGAATTTATTATTTAATTATATTTAACATCATTATCACTTTAATCTGACCAAAGATAGAGAGATGAGGTGAGAAAGCAAGGTACCAGGTCCAGGACTCAAACTGTGCTCAGCAATGTGGTTGTCTAGCGCCCCCAACTATCATGCCACCTTTTGGTCCCAATATGTTATTTTTTAGGTGTAGTAGAAGATATTTTGAAAATGGTATGTAACTTCAGACTTGAGACTTGGATTGAAGGGCTCTTCTGCCTTGGATAATTGACTCAGCTTTAAACATTAGTTTTGGAATTATGCATGTACAGTACAGCTTCCTGGGAGAAAAATAATTATTTTTAGTTATCCAGTGGTCATGAGGCAGAAATAGAATGCCTAGGTGCCTACTGTATTTGTAACTTTTCTCAAAAAGCTTTTGTGAAAAAAATTACAAAATTATTAAATGTATAATAATTTATCTTTACCAATAAATTAGATTTATCACAGTATAAGTAAAATTAAATAAATTCAGATGACTAGTATGGGAAAAATGGGAAGAGATCATTATTACCAAGAATTTATATATTTTAAAGTTACAGTGTTTTCTCTTTATAAACCATATCATTTTCTGTCCAATTCCCTTCTTCCCAATGTTCACAGAGGTGTATTTTTAACAATACTCATCGCCTAGTAGAGCTTTGTGTGACCAAGTTGAACCAAGACTGGTTTCCACTTCTAGAACTTCTTTCCATGGCTTTGAACCCTTATTGCAAATTCCATATCTACAATGGTACACGCCCAAGTGAATCAATTTCCACAAATGCTCAGCTGTCTGAAGATGAATTATATGCTTGTTCTTCGGACCCTCGATCACCAAAAGTATGTTGTTTTATTGTTTTGAAATTAAAAATAAAATTTTTTTTGCATTTGTCATTAGACTGTTTAGTTACGTGAAACTCCTTTTAACATGGTGATTTAATATAACTTTATTTTATGTATTTTATTACGTAAAGACATATGCATTATTGATTCATTAATACTGAACTCATGGTAAGTGCTCCTGTTACTCATGTATGAACAAAGCTTTCTATGCATTGGTCAGTTGATGAAAATGCTCATTGGGTGACTAGCATTTAGCATAATGGCTATGTTGCTGGACTCCCTTGTAGTTCACTGTGGTTTAAGTAGTCCACTGGACCCAGTGACTTAAACTCACACTGGATGCATGCGCGTGTGTGTCCAAGATCCTAAGAAGAGAGTGGAGGAGAAGAGATTATGGCGTAGCCATCCCCTGGGGGGACGATTTCTTGCTTTCTCTCTGTCTCTTTCTTTCTGGTGAGTTCATGTACCCTATAGCAAAAATCTCTTCAAAAAATAGAAAGAAAATGCTCATTGGAAGCTAACCTTTATTTTCTCTAGGAGGAATGACTTAATACTTATTTAGTCATTGCTGGTTCATAGTGACTTTAGAGCATATTAGTTTAACGATAATAAACACTGACTGTACTTTTTATTCTGTTGAAAACAGCTGAAAACTCACATTTATTTACAGACCATACAAACTCAGTAAAGCTTAAAAACTGTTCTAGTTTGCTTTCATAACATGCCGTTAGCTATTTCTCACAAGGAACTTGATTCTTAGGAGAAACATCTTAGTGTTGGTCCACATCTGAATATTGGGTCATTGTAGATAAATTTTCTTATCTCAAACAGAAGGTAAACTGCTTCATTTGAAATTTTAAGTTATTTCAAAGAAGTATAGTAGAAGAAAATGAATTAATTTTATGTGCCAGAAGAGCTAAGGAAAACAGCCTAAATGCTGAATTAACATTCCCATTTTGTATAAGATCACTTCAGTATCTCAGTGGAATACATATTTCGTGATATTTGAACACAGGAAATAAAAAAACAGCAGAGCATGCATTTGTCATGCACACACACATACAGGCACACACAACTAGAATTCAGAATATAAGAGAATGATACAGAATCCTACTAATATGTAATCTCTCCTGTTTTTTTGGGTGGGGGGCAGCTTTTGCTATAGGGCTTGCGCGCTTGCCAGAAAGAGACAGAAAGTGAGAAATCACCCCCCAGGGGTTATGAGCACACTGTAATCCCTTTTCCTCCATTCTCCACTCCGGATCTTGGGCACACACGCATATGAGCCTGGCGTGAGTTTAAGCCTTTGGGTCCAGGACTCCAGTCATGGTCGACTACATGGGAGCCCAGCGACATAGCCATTATGCTAACTGCTAGTACCCTTAATATGAAATCTCTATGACTAGACCTAATGTACTTTTTCCTGTCTAATTTGGATGCCTATTTGTTTCTTTATTTTTTCTTGAATATTTCAGTTTCTAGGGCTTTCATTACTGTTTAATAGAGGTGGCAGAAACAGGCTTCCTTATTCTTGTTAATGATCTAAGAAAAAATACTTCCAGTTTTTCATTAGCGAATATGTCATTAGTGGTGGGCTTTTATATACAGTCTGTATTGTGTTAAGATAGTTTCCTTATTTCCTGATTTGCTGAGAGTTTTCTTTTTTTTAATTATCAGTGGGCTTACATTTTATCAAAATTTTTTCCTGCATCATTTGAAATGATCATGTGACTTGTTCCCCTTCATTTCGTTAATGTGATGCATCACATGGACATTTTTATGTTAAAATGTCCTTGCTTGTCAAGAAAAATTTTTCAAAGTTTGTGTATTGAATGTCCAGCAATTAGCATAATGGCTATGTCGCTAGAATCTCATGTAGTTGACTGTGGTTCGCATCCTGGATCTGGTGGCTTAAAACTCAAGCTGGGGGCGTGTGCGTGCCAAAGATTCTGAGAGGAGAATGGAGAAGAAAGGGTTGTGGTGTGGCCATCCACCCTCGGGGGTGATTTCTCCTTTTCTGTCTCTGTCACTCTCTGTCTGTCTGGCGAGCGCTCACGCCCTTTAGCAAAAACCTTTTTTAAAAATATTTTTATTATTTATTTTATTTATTCATTCATTTATTTTTTATTTGACCAGAGAGAGACAGAGGGTGAGAGTGAGAGAGAGGAAGTGAGAAAGCAAGCCACCAGATTCAGGACTTGAACCCTAGTTAGCCACGTGGGAATGTACAGCACCTTAACCCACCACGCCACCTGCTGGTCCCAGCAAAAACATTTTAACAAAAAAGAAAATTTATAGGTACAATTACTTTCACATTCCTCATATTTTGTTATAATCATTACTGAGCAATTTCACATCTCTATTTATAATGGAAATTATTCTATAATATGTAGTTCTCATTTTTACTTTGATATATTTTTTTTTTTTGGGAGAGGTTTTTGCTATAGGGCACGTATGCTCGCCAGACAGAGACAGACAGAGAGATAGAAAGCGGGAAATCACCCCCCAGGGGGGATGGCCACGCCGTAATCCCTTCTCCTCCATTCTCCCGGGATCTTGGGTATGCACGCACATGCGCCCGGCGTGAGTTAAAGCCACCAGGTCCGGGACTCGAAGCATGGTTGACTATGTGGGAGTCCAATGACATTGCCATTACGCTAACTGCTGGTCCCCACTTTGATATATTGACTTAATGTTGGTCTGTGGGTAATTGTTAGTCCAAGCCTTATAGATTGAATTTTGGCATGTTACCTTTTCACTTTTTTTGGAAGAATAGAATATAGGAATGTTGATGTTAACTTTTCATTAAATATGTAGTATAATTATCAAATGATGCTCTTATTTATTTTTTGATTTTTGTTTGTTTGCCACTGGGACTGTGTGCTTAATGGAGAATGACAGAGAGAAAGGGAAGAAGGAAAATGAGGAATTATATTCCAGGGGGATGACCACACCACATTGTTGTCTTTTCCATTGTCTTGTTGGGATTTTGGGCACACATGCAGAGGAACCTGGTGTTATTTCATGCTACAGGACTTGAATCTGGGCAAAGTCAACCGGCTGGGATCCACCTGCCTTAACCTCCATTCTACCTGATGGCCTGGTCCTGGACTTTTTCCAAAATTTTTTTTTAGAAAATTTTTGATTATTAAATCAGTCTCTCTATCACTTTTCTGCCTAATTAGATTTTCTGTTTCTTCATGACTTAGTTTTGATATAGGTTGTGTGTTTTTAGGAATTTGTCCTTTCAGTGGGGCCAACATAATGGTTACATTGCTATATTCCTATGTATTTGACTGTGATTCAGGACCTGGACCTGGTGACTTAAAACTCATGCCAGGCGTGTGTACATGTGTGCACAAGCTCCCGAGAGGAGAATGGTGAACGAATTGTTTCATGCAGTCCATGCTGAGGAGTGGTGATTTCTCACTTTTCCTTTTTCTCTGTCTCTGTAAGAACATGCAACCTATAGCATAAATCCCTAAAAAAAAAAAAATCCAGAAATAAATAGTGCTTTCACCACTTCGTTATTAAGTTTGTTGGCATAGGGTGGTTTATAATCTATTAATATGTTTTAAAATTATTTAACTATTTAATTTTATTTATTCATTTATTTATTTTTGATTTGTTTTTTATTTCTTTTTTTTCCTGTTTCCTTTTTTTTTTTTTTTTGATAGGTTTTTCTCTTTAGGGGGTGTGGGTT